GACTTGCCAAACACCTTGCTTGTGGACTGTGAACTCGTTCTCATGCACGCGTACCTCCACAGTACCAGACTGTACGTTGAAGATCATGTGCATGTACCGTGAGTTCTTCGTGCGCTTCATCTGATCCGGACCGAGTTCGATGAGACCCCAGTTGAAGAAGTTGCCGATGGATCCAATCTTTGCGTATTTGAAGCCGCCATCTCCGACGGCTACGGGCTCGACACCCCTTTCGTTCCATGCGATGGCTGTGATATGGTTAGTGACACTTGGTCGTTCTTCAGGTTTGAGGCCACTTACTGTCTTCGATGATGTCGTTGGAGGGAACCTCACCAACAGTGTCGAAACCTCTAAAGTTGCCAACAAGAGTGCCTTGCTCTTCCCAGGGGTCGAGCTCGATTTCCTCTTCTTCGACAACAGTGAGCGCCCTCTTTTTGCTCTTGTAGCTGGACTTCTTGGTGGGTCTCCTCTCTTCCTCTACTGCTTGACTCTTCACAATCGACGACATGCTGCCGTCGGGGTCGTAGGAAATGTGGTCGTTCTTCCAAAAGTCGATGGGCGCAACACGATGTCTGCCCGTTCGTCCTATGCGAGCGACATTGTCGGGATCCATCTCGCGGAATACTGAAAGATGTCGTCCCCGTCCGAAGCGTGAGCCGGCTGACGTCGCAGATATTTGATCGATATCCTTTCTGCTGAGAGGATTTCCGTACGCATCTACCAGCTTGCCGGCCTCCTCGTTCTCCGCCTGTGGAGTCTTGGATTTCGATACCCCATTGGACCTTGGCTCTGCACTTGCCGATTTCGCTTTGGACTCTGCATTTGCTTTCGGTCTGCCGACAGGTTTCGCGGGCTTTGTGAATTCTGCATTGGACTTGTTCGCTGGTTTGGCTGATGCTGATGCCGATGCTGAGGATGTTGCTTTGTCGCCATTTGGCTGCGCTTTAGCTGGCCGTCCGCGCTTCTTTTGTGCAGGCGCTTCCTCCACTTGTTCCGACTGATCTACTGAGTCGTCGGCCGGCGCTTCAACGATACTGTCGTCTTGTTCCCCATTTGGCTGCGCTTTCGCCGGTCGGCCGCGCTTCTTCGGTGCAGGCGCTTCCTCAACCTGTTCCGATTGATCTACTGAGTCGTCGACCGGCGCTTCGACGATGCTGTTCTCTTGCTCGCTGACCGGTTGTACCTTGGGTGGCCGTCCTCGTCGTTTCGGCGCAACGGGTGCTTCCTCAACCTGCTCAGATTGATCTATCGAGTCATCCACGGGCGCGTCCAGTTCGCTGACGTCGGATACACGTTGTGAGCGTCGGCGCTCAGCAGGCGCAGTCTTCTTGCTCTTCTGTGACTCCGAAGCTTGCGCTGCGGTAGGGCGGCCCCGTTTGCGCGGCTTCTCTGCTGGTTCCTGCTCCCCTTCTGAAACCTCCACAACATCGCTCTTGCGTTTCCTACCCCTCTTGGCTTTCTCTTTTGGTGGTTCTGGAACAATTTCAGACTCCTCCTCACGATCCAGCTCCTCAAGGTCCTCAACAACTTGGTCATCGGCCATGCTCTCGTCGCCTCCAATTTGCGCAACAAAACTCTCTTCAGCGGCTATTCCCAATTCATTGGCTGTGATTTCTTCCTGCACAATGCTCTCTTCAAATATCGCACTCTCTGCCGGGCCCGGCGATTCTTCTTCCGGTATATCATACACGTCTGATCGCTTTCCTCGTCGCGCGCCTGAGCCGCTCAGAGCTGGCGTCTCTTGTAGGCTTGATTCGTCCTGTTCAAAGTCGAGGCGTCGCGCAATCGGCTGTGCGGAGTCGCGGAGGGGGCTGGATGGGGGCGGAGAGCTTCCCCTCGGCGCCATGGAGGATTGCCGCCGCGGCGAGGATCCGAGGTTGGTCTTCTTGGGCGATCGCGATCGGGGAGGAGGGAGGAGCGTTCGGTTGTTGCGCAAGATCTGGTGGGATGTGGTGAGTTCTGGCATTGAACCTGGCGGGCCTGTTAGCGACATCCCTCGCGATTGCGTCGATGTCTGCGCACTCTCTTGTATTTCCATCGAGCCTGATCCTGTCGCATCATTCCCTTGTTTGGGCGGGGACCTCTCTGGCGACGAGAAGATGCCGGATATCGGTTCGAGGCCATGTTCGTCGTACACGCCTTTGTCTGCGAGTGTGATGCCAGTCTTCCTGCGCAATGTTAGTTATTGTTTACGCGCATGCATTGGAGCGTCTCTCTGCCTACCTTCCCTGCACGCCAACGTTGTAGTAATTGTTTTCGCGCGCTTCGCGTTTCTTTGTGGGCGCCATCTTCACGGTCTTGTCCGCAAGGAATGAATGCGCGTGTGGGTGCGGGTGACGCGTCGGTGGTGTCGCGATTGAATTGCGAGGGCGCTGTCGATAAGTTGTTTGGGTTTAGGCGGGATGTAAACTAACCGTTAACGGCGGGAAGGCACAGGGTCTTGGCGCCTTCCCCTCCAACTCCAACCCGCCCATCGCCATCCCACAGGCCATTACGAGGTGTAGTACAGTGTCTATACTCGCTTCTTAGTCTATTGCAATCTGCTCCTTGTGACTTTGACATGTCACTACCAGAGGTTCAGTGGCCAATTGTGACATCACGGAGCCACCCAAGAGTACATGCATGGCAGCATCCCACCCACCGTGACAAACTAGTTTAGCGCACATCCATCACGGTGCATGAAAACGGCGCAGTATAAGTTGAGGAGCCCACCCAATCGTGGGGACTTTTCCGGTTTCTTCATTCAACCTCAGCCGGCTCTCAGTTGCTAATTCGCATCCCAGACACCAGTCATCCGCCAAAACGAGAGAACACCTCGCTCTCCTACAGCCACAGTCGTCGTGCAGACCACGCACTGCTTCATTCATTGCTCGCATCAAGCATCCGCTCTCCCATCCACCCACATTGTATCTCCCACCAAACGCTCTTCCTGGATCAAGACTTTTTCCCATAACCAAATCTCTTGACGTACAGCCAAAACAGGAAAAGGCCGTCCAATCATGCCCGGGCGACGATGTGCTTTTCGTGAAGCGTCGAAAAACGGCAGCGAGCCGCTGAATGAAAATATACAAGAAAAGAAATCGTAAGCATGTCGATGATTCGTCACATCGTGGGCGCAATCTCCAACGTCGCTCATGCTATCAGAGCGACTTGGAAGTTCGAAACTCGTTCCAGATCAAAACATCGACGGCATCTGGAACACCCTACTGGGGGCAGGCGCTCTGGACGTGGCCGGGCTGCTTGCAGCGGTAGCACACGCGCTCAGATGAAGTCTCCTGGGGGCAGTCGCGCGACAGATGGCCAACCTCGCCGCCTACAAAAGGTTAGTCATGCTCTTCCAAGTTCATCGCTGTGTACTCACAGTTGTAGCACTTCTGTCCCTGGGTGCAGTCACGGCTCATGTGACCGAAACCACCGCACGAATAACACGTGGTTTGGCGAGCACCTCCGTAGCCACCGGCACCACCGCCGTAGCCTCCACGACCGCCGCCGTAGCCGCCAGCAGCACCGCCGTAGCCACCGCCCTGGGAGCAGTTGCGGGCAATGTGACCGACCTGGCCGCACTTGTAGCACTCTTGGCTGGGGGCGCCACGGCCACCCATCTGGGCACCGCCGTCCTTGGTGCACTCGCGCGAGATGTGACCGGTGCCACCGCAGCGGTAGCAGGTCTTCTCAGCCTGGGGAGAGGTGCACTCGCGGCTCACGTGGCCCTTCTCGCCGCAGTTGTAGCAGGTTGGGGTACCCTTGGTGGGGCACTCGGCAGCGCGGTGAGAGGAGTCTCCGCCTGGACATGGTCAGCGCGTGTTCAAAGATGCAGTTCCGAGTCAGGCATGGTGGTCTCCGCGCTTCAATACCGATCTGGACCTGTCGCTGGACCCTGAGGCGTGACGCTCTCGCGATCTGATATACAAAGCGGGGCCGCATTCGGACCGTGTCACCGCATCGTGGGTATAGAATCAACTTACAGTTGTAGCAGCCACGGCCACCGGCAGCGGGAGCAGGTGCTTGGTAATCCATTTTGTAGAGTTGGAAGACTGGTGAGTGTTAGCTGTAGTCCGCACGCGCCATGCTGTGATGTCGGGCTTTGTTCTTACCGAAGTATCGAAAGGGTAAGGGAGTGACGTTAGAAGATGATTGTCTTCTAAAAGGGTATTGAAATAGTCGTTCAAAAGTCGCACACCACCAATTGTTTGATTATCGGAAGCTGAGGGGTTGGATCGTTGGAGAGAGAGAGCGAGGGGCACAAAGTCGACTGCTGAAAATATCTGTTCGGGCTGGGTTGTGCTTGCCGCTAGTCTAAGCGAAATACGGTCTAGCTTCACCGTTCATTCTTGCCTTCAAGGTGGGTCTGGTGTTTGCGCGAAATCAGGGACGGCGGCGCCGTGGTTTGTGTTCCTGTAGGGGTCCGGAACAATAGGGCTTTGATTTCACACACATTGCAGATATGCGCGTGATTGGAACTGCTGTTCATGGTACCTAAGTCGGCTTCGACGTCATTGGAAGGGGAAGCATCGCTTGACAGGCCTCGTGCAGATCTCGGGATGCATATGCAGCTAACCTGGCGTGGAAAGATTGAGTAACCGAACGATCGCACACGTGGCTGCATGTAATATTGATGCCGAGGCACGAACAGGTGGTCAGCGAGAGATCTAGAGATCTGGTATTGGCAGCGGATACATAGAGGAATTCGGATTGTGCTGTGTTTGGGGTGTTCTCGTGCTGACTTCCAAGACCACCCGTGTAGACATCGAATAAATCCACGCATGCAGCACTGCAATTAACCCATCCTCGCAAACTCAAAGTTCGTGTTCCTAAGGTAGACCCTGAAATCTCGGAAAGATATTTCGATGTTCTAGACCCGTGCAAAAAGTCGGGTGGTGTCGCGGTGCCCCCACATCCGGCCAAAAAAAAAAAGCTTTCATCCCATGTCCACCACCACCCCCCTCCCAAAGCTTCACCACCACAACCACGACCCATCCTATACCTCAAGGAGCGCAAAAAGCTGGAGATGCAGGGAATCGAACCCTGGACCACTCCCATGCTCTGAATAACAGGGACCGATACCCAGGAAATCCATGATGCTAAGGGAGTATTATACCACTAAACCACATCCCCGATTTGCTGCTTCGAAGAGCTGCTTGTTGATGGAGAGAACTCGAATGAGTTCCTTCATAATCGAGGTACAAACAGGGGCAGGATAATCTATACACCGTGTTGATAAGATGCGAGCTCTAGTATTATTGTGGAATAGTGTCAGACATAGCGATGGGGTATTCACGAACAGGACCCACTTCCAAGGTAATTGCCCCTCCGCTTCGACTCGAGAAAGGTCTTGTTCCGTTTCTGTGCACGATATAGAAGTCTACGTGTTCGCTCTGCCTGTGCGCCCGGGATTTGTCAGTCCCTCAATCCACTTCCATCGACGTAGACATGTCCGCCCCTGTAGGAAAGAACCTGGCGTCGTGCCTCCAGATAACGCAGAAGTCTGCAATACTCATTGATAGACCGAGGTGAGGACTTGAAGGATGGATAAGATGTTGCGGTAACTCTGGAATGCATAGGCCAGTGGCTATTATCGGAAAGGTGTTCAAGTCGTATACCTAGGTAGCCCTCGACTAGTATCAAAAATATCGTAAGGAATTGCATCTAACGACTACAATGACCTTGTTGTTTTTGACCGTGATCGAACTGCGGAGGCAGGCGTATGCATACTAGTGCCGAGTGTTCAAACTAAGTGGCATAGTTAGAGTCGAAGCACGCATGGTAGTAAGAATGCTGCAGTTTAAACTTTACAACAAGTGTTAGAGTATGCATGCTCTTCTGTCGTGCTGGTTTCTCGACGACACATACAGCGCATAGCTCTACGGCAGGTCATACGGAATTCTGTCTAGGTAAAGGCAAAGTAAGTCTGGGTAGTGTAATCCTGAAGAGTGTAAACGTGGTATGAAGATGTCGTGTGCGGGATGTAAGCAGCGTGGAAGACTTTGACTACAGGCACTAGATGCGTAATAGCAGAGAACAATGTGAAGTAGAAGACTATCTTCTACACCTTTGCCGAAAAGTGTTGGACTATGCATTAAATATTCTCACATGGCACAAGACTCAACCGCAGTAGTCTCTCCACTAGACTTGCATGTCTGCGATAGCATAGAAATAAGCCGCACTTAGAAGACTCGAGAAGACAGTCGTGCAATGCAAGTAGGGCTCACGTCTGTAAGCAGACTATAGCGTCGACCGGCGCCGAAATGATTGCAGTTCAAGTCACGTGTAACACCTAATATTAACACTAGAAAATGCCTGACAGTAAGAGAGTAAAGGTATAGTAGTGCATGAAAAGCTAGCGAGTGTCTTGTATTATAGTGACAGCGCCGATACTTAGAACACCAGCGCGGCGCCTAGTCATAATAAAGATAGGCGAAGAAGAAGCCGTACTAAGTTTCTTTATCTCAATCAGCGTGCCATACCGCTAGGCATCCGCGAGAAGGAAACATGTTGCCTATGTCTTACCAGACACATTCCAGGACGTATAACTATGCTTGAGCATGCGATCTTGCTTTGCATTAGCATAAGCGCTACATTGTTCTACCTTCGCACGGAGAATGTATACTACGCAATTATGAAAAGACCGACCAAAAGACACGGCTCTACGCTCTATCTTCACAATATAGAAAGCGCTTTAGGTATGCTTAATTGTTTCAGCGAGGAAAAGACTTGCGCACGAGTATATGAAGAATGAACACAAGCAAGCCCGAGAGGCTAACAACGCAAATTACAAGTTGGTCTATAGCTTCGAAGTAGAATTTTATGTTTCTTGCTGCCTCTGGAACAAGTAAAACAGTAATGCAACATCGATCCATTTGTCTACGTAGCTGCGCGAGTATACCAACGCGCTCAGCTGAATGATTTCAGCGCGAAGTGTAGCAACAGCCAGGCAGGGCGTGGAAAGAAATCGCAGATCAGCACGAAGTCTTGGTTATGCAGACATATCGGGGCGCCGCATGTAGTGACTTCAACGCGGGAATATGCCAACTGTGTCAATGTAGATGAAGAGAATGAAGGCATCAGCAGGTGGGAGAAGATGATTAACGATGTCGTAAATGCACTGCGCTCGTTCTGATGATATGACCGAGTAGTACGGCCGTCGCATTCGCAGACACCACATAGTGTCTTCCACACACTACTGACTACTAGAAGACTCTCACAAGTTCTCAAAACCAGAATCCTCATCGCCACCGTTCTCTACCCCCTCCTTCAATTCAAGCGGCTCTCGGTGATGACGCTCAAGGTGAACCAGCCACATGGCCGCGGTCGTGTACGACCGGTCTATGCACAGAGGACATGTCGCGCTCCCTGTGCATCGGGCAATCTTCAACTCGTCAAACGCCCTTATAAGCTATTTACGACGCGTGTTCACCCTCCCCTTGACATGTCTCTCAAGTTGCACACGCTTTCATTTCTTGTCTTTGGCGTCCTGTGACATCGTTTGATTGAACTGGCAGAGCTAACACTTCAACCCAGAGATGGCCTGATTTGTATGTGCGACGAATGCACCGAGGGATGCTACACGTTCTTCTTTCATAGCCGCATCGCATTCCTCGACCCCATCAGCAATGTTCACATGAATGTCCTCTTTTAGTAAATCTTCCCAATACACCGGCTCACCCCGTGGGTGTTGCTTGTCGTCGTTTCCCTCGAGCGAATGCATGTCCAAGCGCTCTTCCTGATCAACATCCGACTCAGTTATCTCATCCTGTTCGTTGCGCAGTTTTAGGGCCTCGAGAGTGCTCATGCACTCACTGTGGAGACCCTCAAGTTAGGTCTGGGCATATTTGGCCTGTTTGCTGATAGATGTTGGCGTGCCATCTTTACCGGCGGTTAGTGCCGTAGTTGTTGACTTGGTGGACGTTGTCAGCAAAGATCGCGTCTCTTGAGCAAGCTCTTCCAGTATAGTATTCCGTATACTTTTGTGGGTTTTCTTCAGTACCACATTTCGCTTGTAGAAGATAGCCTCAAGCTGCTTGAGGACAACTTCAGCTGCAGGGTCTCCATCCCTCAACATGACCCTGTGAGCGCTAGTGATAGTACCGGCGTAGCCTCACGGTATGGGTGTATCATCGGCGCTGCTCCGTATCAGAAACACGCGCATGTCGTCGATCGTTGTCTTGAAGGATCGGACTATCTCGACCAACTCGAAGTCTTCTCGCTCGCGTTCGCGCAACCGCTCTTCGACCTCAGCGCGAAACATAATCTCGTAGTTCTCATGCTGTACGTATCCTGTCTGAGCTGCCTGCTCAAAAATCTTCCTTGCGTCTCGCCGGCTCATCTGCAAACAGCTGAAGTCAGTATATTTCTCAAGTTCCTCTCGCATGTGCAGAGCCTTGACTCCACCTCTCTCTGCCTAGTATGTAGGTCTGAATGTCGATGTCGCCGACGCCGACTGTATCGTAGTATCCGTGGGTGTTCGAGTCGTCGGCATGTGCTGCAATTGCCTGCGCCGCTACCTCTCCGTGTTCATGTTTGGTTATGATGATACGTGTTCGACGAAAGCAATGCATTGTGTTACGTTGTGACAAACCCGTGTCTATGCTCGCCTCGCGCAGGCGAGAATTCAGTGCATCAGACTTCATCAGCTCCCCAGGCGTGATGATGCCGTGACTGTCAGCTGGCAGGAACACTGCTAAGTTCAAAATGATGAGATGAGTCTTAAGCCGAGCATGATCCGTGCGAAGGATAGAAGAAGTTGGTTACATCAGGAGGTACCCAGGTAGTATTGCTACCTTCACTACATCATCAGTCGCTCGAAGTTTTCCGCTAAGGTAGCTAGGAGGCCGTCAACTATAAACAAAGCAACGCGGCTCTTCCCTCAACATCCGTGTAGTTGGCACGCTAGTCTTGCAATAGTAAACTCATCGACGTCAGCGTTTGATGTAGTCAATATAGTGATCTATTGAAGTATTCTTATCGATGATGGAAGTTGATGTAGTCAGCAGGAGGGCTCTACAACTGCAAGGTTGTCGAAAACAACGTCGATGTGGCAGCCTGCGGATTGTATTCTTTATCATCATTAAGCTAGATCCGCGGTCTTGGCTGCCGTGGCGATAAGAAAGGGTATCTTCCTGTATTCGCGCGTATAGACCTCGCCTGGCATCCATGCTGAGGTCAAGCCGATGAAGTCCTTGACGTATTTGCCTACATTCAACCCAACTTTGGCGCCATCTGTCCACTCACCCTCTTTGTTCTTGTTCTGCTTGTAGACATCGCCCTCCTCTTTGATTGTACTGTTCACGGCCATGTTCATGACGACGCTCGATTTTGGGATAAAGAAATCCGTGGCCAGCTTTTTTGTCTTTTTCCGGCAAAGAATGCACGTCGGGTAGCCATAGCCATGTAGGGGACGAAATTGGCAAGCGTGGTCGGCTGTACAAATCCAGGCGGCGACGGAGGAATCATCATCGAGTGGTTTCGCATCCGGCGGGTAGATGATATTGTATTGTGTGAAATGGGAGCGGCCGGTAGCGAAGCTTAGCTACAAGATCAAGGTCAGTATATATGCTCGTGTTATCAGATAGGGATTACTCACTGTGCGTTGGATATCCTCAGTTGTAACGTCCAACACCCAATACGTGTCGGCCCTTTCAATCCTTCTCTTCAGCTCTGTCTCGGCAACTTCGGGACCCAATTTCCTCTTCTTCTTCTCATCTTTAGGCGCTGAAATGACCTGATCGCGCGCTGGTTCGGTCAAGGACTCGCGCTTCGGATCGGTCAACGGAAGCCAGATTGCGCCGCATCGAGAGGATTCTCGCGCGCCATGAGTAGATCGAACATGGCATTCGATGCGTCGTTTTGAAATGATACGGGGACGTCCCAGAGTGAGGCTAGACGAGCACACATGGTTTCGGTTTCTTGATCTTTTGACACAAGACCAAGGTCTGGAGACCGCACCACATGTTTTCAATTTTTCTTCTTTTTGGAAAATCCTCGTTTTGAGAAGATGAGTGTGTAAGAAGGAAGAAAGACTCATAGACAAGTTGCTTTTATACGTCGGCAGACCGAGAAGCTAAGAGTGATGTCGGCAGGGTAATACGGCCTTTCGTACGCGCCGGCAGGAAGCGAAT